AATAAAATATCATACCAAGGCCAGTTTTTAGACAGGACCCAATTCACCGACCAGCAAGCATCATTTAAATAGATTTGACTTTCTTTATAAAGTAGATAATCAGAAAAGATATGGTGGCCATATATGGAAATTATTTTTGGGTAGACCTGAGATTTCACACACATGCAGAACAATCATATGTACGTATACAGGAACAAAAACAATTTCTAGACAATGAAACGGCTTTCCAGTCTCTTAGAAAAGTATTCTCTGCAGGTTGTTTTGGAGAAATACTGTTGATAAAAAGCAAGGGTTTAGAGTAAAGGGCAAATATAGTCTAACCACCCCTGGCTAGATATACTGTATATACAATGCTGCTTCTCCATAGATACAGTGGAGGAATGAGTGTAGCCATCCTAGGACAAGAAGTGTGTTACTAGCTAGATTACTAGATGAAAAAAAAGGGAAAATCCTAAAAAAAAAAGAAAACCAATGCAGTCATCACATCTAAGGACTAGTAAGCTGCAATTTATTAGATTTTTGGGTTTTAGATAACATTTTAGCTAAGGAAATCTAATTAAAGGGTCAGTTTACCTAAAACTACAAAACAGATGCTGGAGAGATAAACCAGACAATTTCTTAAAATCTCACAGGGACACTATTTTACTTGACTTCCTGGGGTTGCGTAGTGACCATGAGGGATTTGCACTGTCCCCGAAGATTCATTTATTATAGAGTATGGAGAATGTAGAAGGAAGTACTGGAAATCAACACCCAAATCTTAGGTGGACAGGAAAAGAAGTTGGAATTATGGCAGGGACATCTGGCCGGTGGAGTATTCAAAACATATAAGATACCAATGTTGGACTGGCTAGGCACTTCCTACAAGTAAAATTTCACTTTTGGGTGAACTGGCCCTTTTATTTACTTTCTTTATTGAAAGTTGTCATAAAACTAAAAATCCACAAATCTAAATTTACATTTGTTTTACACTTCTGATTGTATATTGTGTAACTATTTACTGTATGTATCTACTCTGTATATATCATCACTACAAAAATAAATGCCTGATTTGAATTTAGGCTAGGTTCACACGTAGACGACACCTCACCGCAAGGTCAGGAGTATCCAAGGTGGGAACCGATCGCACTGTGGGTGCCATTATTTTCGAATAGCACTCCAGTCGCGCCAGGCAGACCATGCAGTTTCCCGCCGCGATTCCGCCTGTGCTTCCGAACACGAAACAGCCGGGCGGCGTGTATCGCAAAAAAGGTACTTGTACCTTTTTTCTGTGATTGCCGTGCGGATATCACCCAATTGAAATCTATGGGGCAGTGCGGCAATCGCTGCCTGCATTGTGCAGGACTGCACAACACCCGGGACGCATGGGGTCTGTCGTGCGGTTTAGTGCAGGTTTGAACCTAGCATTAAACTTGGGTAACATAAGGGATTATTTTGATCATTCATACTAAACAAATAAGAGACTTTCTTTGAGACCAATGACATTAATAAATAATGGACTCAAAGATTTGAAACTTTTTTTATAAATCTGTAATTTTTTTCGGTCTTCTTTATACATATCCTGTATGTGTACACTTTAGAAGATCTACACTTCATGATAAATAAATGCATATAAAAGTATACATGTATTAGCTACGAGCCACCAAAATCACTGGGACACATTTATCAATCATGTTATATTTTTGGACACATTTTTATTGAAGACAAGGTTTTTAACACAAACTTATTAAGTTCCTTCAGATGAAGTCATAATTATGGCATTAGAGAGAAAAACTAAGTTCAAAAACTGATACTAAATACATATACTGATCAGCTATAACATTATGACCACCTGCCTAAAATCGAGTAGGTCCCCCTTTTGCTGCAAAAACAACGTTGACCCGTTGATGCATGGACTCCACTAGACCACTGAAGATATGCTGTGGTATCTGGCACCAAGCCGACAGCAGAAGATCATTTAAGTCCTCTAACTGGCATGGACCGGGACACCCGCACGGACGTGCAGGGCGGGTGAGCGTAGGGCGGCGTACGGCCGCGTATTCCCATAGAGAAGGACAGGGGCTGCGTACTAATCACACACGTCACCTGTCCTTCCCTGGAGCTGCCCGCTACGGCCGTGCACGCAGCACGGAGCTGTACGTGCCGACTTTTTCTCATGTGAATGAGGCCTTCAACAGTAGTATTTCATATAATTTCCAGTGACAAAAGAGGGAGAAACTGCAATGTTTTGTATCTTTCAAACTTATATTAAAAAAACTAATAAACCTGAAATCTATTGATGTTAAGAACTATTTCAAATGGCCTTGTACAGAACAAAAATTAATTCACAATTTAAGAATGTTTAACAAGCTAAAATAAAATTCCTATTACATTTGGTTAACCACTACTACTATTAGCACTTGTACCATAATAACGCATGTCCTGGAACAGTACACAGTGCAGGCCACATGTACTCAACCAGTAAAAGTGTTTGTGATGGGTTCAGAAACTACTTCTGCTTATCAAAGTAACTTGTGTATAATAGATTAGATTTTTAACAAACAATAACTCAAATATAGTTATTATAGTTTAGTTATTTAAAACAATTTTTGAGTATTCTTCGATTTGTAGGATTTAGTAGGATAAATGTGTATGACAGGAGCTATGCAGGGTGGTAATCGATAAACACAAGCTTTTAAAAAGGAGTCGATTTATTTTTATAAGGATGAGAGACATCATTGTAGTTTACAGAAGTGGCAGATGACCTTTCTAAATGGGCAGCACAGTGGCTTAGTGGTTAACACATCTGCCTTGGGTCTTTAGTTCAAATCCCAGTCACGACACTATCTGCATGGAGTTTGTATGTTACCCCTGTGCTTGAGTGGGTTTTTTTTACCAAGCTCCAAAGACATGCGGGTAGGGTTATTGGCTCCTGTCTAAATTGGCCCTAGTATTTGCTTGTGCGATAGCGACCTTAGATTGCGAGCTCCTTGATGGAAGGGATTGATGTGAATGTAAAGTGCTATGTAAATTTTTGGCACAATATAAGAACCTGTAATAAATGACATGCAATGGACTTTTATAGAATCATGTTTGAACTTTTTTTTAGAAAGTATTTTTTCTGCTACAATTGAAACAATGATTGATGGCTGAGGTCCTTCATAAATTGCATAAAGCACTGTGTCACACTCCTTTTACAGCAATGGGTTTTGATCCAGGTTTCTAATTTGCCCTTTGTAGGCGCAGTGACTACTAGATTTTTTAGGCTAACAGAGAAAATAGTCACTAAGGTCCAGATATTCCTATGCCTGAAGGGGCCTGGCCTGCACCATTACATACACTGCAGAATACGTTCTTGGTGCTCTTTAGCTAAACTGTAAGGTTGTTTCTGAAAGACCCGTGCTTTGGTCAGGACAAGACAATTGCACTCTCACTCTCACTCTCATCAAAGATGGTAAGATATCAGATGGTAAGTGTACATTACATCAACTTCTATGTAAAATGTTAGCTGCACATAGCTATATAAATATGAAAAAGTAAATGTATATCAGTAAAAAAATAAGTCAAGGCCACTGGACTGGCTGTATTTTTCTTGAAGACGTTTCACTGGACATCCGACCAGCTTTCTCAATTCAGGATGACTTGTACAAAAAATTATCTGGGAATAAATATGGGGAATGTCGCCCCAATCCACAAAATCTGTTAGTCACAACCAGGTGTTGATTGCATTTGCATAATTGGAGTCTAGGGGGTGTTATTAACCTGCTCAGAGAGAGGTGTTAAAACAGGAATTGTATGTGCAGACAATAAATGCCTAACTCCCCCATGCGCCCACCCCCACACCTCTATTCAAGCTTGGCTTCTCTGTTTTTACATAAAGGGCCTCTTTTCACACCTGTTTTGAACCAGTCTTCCTCCCTGTCTAGGATGCGTACTTGACTGTCTTACTCATTCACAAGGGTGCAGGGGGGGGCACACGATCTACCCCCCACCCCCACTTTTCCGCTCCGCAAGGCTGCTGCTTGGATTAAGGTTCTGTCAAGGGATCTTGGGGCTTTTTTTTGTCCCCATGGAGTCCCTCCTAACATTCCTACCATAACTAAAGGGTCTGGTATTAATTTTTTTTGGGGGGGACCTCATGCTGGACAAGGGCCTCTTCCCTACAACCCTGGCCCGGTGGTTGTGGGGGGTCTGCGGGCAGAGGGGCTTATCTGAATCTGGTAAAGCAAAACAAACGACAAACGCACTCAACAATTTGTTACCAGTTTATCTGAATCTGGGCCCCATGCTGTTTGTTTCTTTTTGATTTTGACATTTCAAAACATCAGTTCATTCCGAATGACATTCGGACAGAATTCGGATGCATTAAAATTTGAATGTTTTCCTATTCAGAAATTTGGATGTACCCGAATTTCTGAATTGGCCAATTTTTGTCCGAATACCAGTTTGGATGAGAACGAATGCACTAGTATTCACCATCATCGAAAACAAAGTCTAATATTCATCAAGAGACTGACACTTATGTTACAGCCTTGCTGAGAGGGCACAGTAGAGACACAAACTGTTTGTCGGAAAATATACCTTTAGAGCAGGGGTAGCCAAATGTTGGCCCTCTAGCTGTAGTGAAACTATAAATCCCATCATGCATCTTACTCTGGAAGTCATGCCTGTGACTGTAGAGTCGTGCAGCACCTAATATGATTTGTAGTCTCACCACAGTTGGAGGGCTGAAGTTTGGCTACCTCTGCTTTTGAGTCTCTGAAAGATACAGGATACCAGAGGTAGATCAAAACTGTAAAATCTAAGTGTTTCATGTAGTTATATTTCTCTCAGCGATTGGATTTTCAGCATAGCTCAGTGATATTCAGATTCTAATGTCAACAATAAGCTATAATAATTAATGGCACTGTATGACTATGTAAACTGGTAACATTTGCTGTAAACCCCATTGTATTGACTTTTTACCTTAATAGTGATATTGTCTAATCATTTTCTTTCAGGTTCCTCAAATCTTAATTGGTTGGCCATCATTTGTGTATTTCCTTTTGTGATACTTGTTGGATACTTTATTTGTAAAAGGAAGAAAAGACCGAGTATGTATATCATTTGTTTTAATACTCTAAAGCAGATACATAAAATGCAGTGACCACCATTACTTGTTAGTGATATAATTTGATTTCTAAATAATAACATTTGCAGCAGAATTGTACATTTTACGTTTACTTCCGAATGGATATTCCTAAGAATTACGTTAAATGCGGACATTTGGATGCATCTGAATTTCCGAATTTGAATGTGACCGAATGCGAACAAATCCGAATGCCTGTTTAATGAAATTCAGATCTGTCCGAATTTTGTTCAAAACGAAACTAAAACGGACATGTGACTGTTCTCTGGTCAATCAGATTTTTTTGGGGCTGTTGAGGGTTGCATTACAGGCAAGGTCACGTGAAGTCATTCCCAAATGAAAATTCGAATAGTTCTGAAACGAAACTTCGGGCCCTACTGAGTGTAATTAATCTTCAGTACACTGTACTTTGGGGGTGCTTTTGTGGAACCTTTTTTTTTTAATCCTTTTTGGCTCGCTATTCCACTGGGGCACCATGCAAGCCCCACACTGGAGTTGTGTGTTGAATAACATGCTTTGATAAGGGTCAAAAAGTCAAGCAAGCTGGAAAAAATCTTTGTAAACCAGCTTTTTTGGGTGTATAGTTGGCCACGGGGAAACACAGGAATGATGTGACCTCCAAATCCTGCAAAAATTTACTTCTGCAATTTGCTAGAGCACAATCTCGCAGAGATTTAAACACTCAGCTTTCCCAGGAGGCAGCACAGTAACATCCGAGGTGCCTCTAGAAAGTGGACAAGAGCTAGTGGCAATGTATTTTATCATTTTTATTTATTATTATTATATGTTTACATTTTATTTATTGAAAGCTTAATTTTTTTAAGCTTTTTTCAAGTTTATTTGGAGCGTTGGAGGGCTGTCAGTAGAGCTAAAAAAAAAAAAATTTCATTCACCGTCTGTTTTAGTTAAATGGTTTTACTCAATGAGGAGTTATCATTCGTAAATACAATAACCGAGAAAACACCCAAAAAGAATCAATGTTTATCATCCTTAAAGGAGAACTATGAGGTGAGTGCTTTTCACTCACCTCATAGTTCTAGCCGACCTGTGACAATGAGACTGTCACAGGTCGGCTCAGTAGATTGGGAGGTGAGCGAACACATACCGGCATTCGCTCACTTCTCGATCCTGTCACGGCTCTCAGGGGAGGGGCTGGATTCCCCCCTCCGATCCTCCAGCGCTGACTGGCGGAACGGACGAGGAGGGGGCGGGTACAGCTGGTTCTGCCTCTAGATAGGCAGAGCCAGCTGTCACTCACCCAGCTGGGCGGATCCAGACATAATTGTCGGGATCCGCTTCAGCTGTGGCATCTCAGTATACTGCGAGCTGTAGCTCACGGTATACTGCGGTGTCTCAGTATACTGCGAGCTGTAGCTCCTGGTATACTGCGGCGTCTCAGTATACTGCGAGCTCTAGCTCGCGGTATACTGAGGTTAGGGTGACCGGAGGACGCTAGTTTGATAGCAGTAGATATAGGCAAAAAAACGGAGGCTTTAGAACCACTTTAAGGACAAGAACACGCTGTGGCTTGTTTACTAGAGCATGCTTGCTTTGCAAAGGGAAGTTTCACTTAGCTCAGTGAATGAGGTGAATATGCTTTTACTTCCAATACCCAGTTGTGTGCAAGGAAGATTTTTAAAAATTGATTTTTGCTTGCACATGATTGGATAAAAAAAATAAGTTTCTCCTCATTCACTAATCGAAATGGAATTTCACTTTGCTAAGTGGACAGCCTATACTCCTTTAGTAAATCAACCCCAATGTGTTTTACATTAACAATGTTTAACTATTGTAACTAACAAGATGAAAGTCAATAGCAAACAAAAATGGACGCCATACATGCATCTTTTTAATTTTTAGTGTATTTACAGTTTTTAATGATGGCTCATGGCGATTGATCTACTAAAGGATAATAGGCTGTTCAGTTTGCAAGGGAATTTGCTCTTTCCTGGGGAATTTTCCCCTTATCTTAGGGAATGTGGTGAAATTTCACTTTGCAAAGAATACCCAATCACATTCAAGGGGAAAAAAAAATTAGAAAAAACCCAGTAATTTTGCTTGCACATGATTTGGTGATGGAAGTCAGTAGAGTATCAGGTTATTCACTAACCTAAAGGGGTATATCCTCTGTAAAGTGCAAATTCCCTTGTAAACTGAACAGCCTATTTGCCTTTAGTAAATCAGCCCCATAGAATGAAGTGAGCATGAAGTACTTTGGTACTTTTTAAGTTCAACTTCTCATTTCGCCTGCCATTTTGCAGCCATTGTAAGGTGTTGTTAAGCAGTAAAAAACGTGTTAATTGTACATGGAAGTAATATAAAATTGTATTCAATATATATATACATATATTCCCCTCTCCTGATATCACTATGCAAAAAAAGAGGTGTAGTAGCCCTTTTATCTCTTACAAAATGTTGATTTGTAGTTGTATTTTTCTTTATGTCAGGGTACTGTAATAATATACAGTATATGTGATTCACATATTATTTGTGTTTTATATATTCCAAGAGAGGAGAATCTTACAGAAAAATGAACAAGAATCTCTGGAACTTAATCACCAAAATGAAGAGTATAATAATGATGCCGATGAGAACTCTTCTAGCAATTCTGTGACATGGGTAATTGTCTTAGTGTGTATTTCTGTATTTGATTTATGTCCTGGCTCGGTAATAGTAGGGGGCTAATGTACCTGGGGGGAAAAAAGCTCTCTACAGAAATGAAAACCTAAACTGACTTGTGTATATGGTTTCTCCTTTTTGTTGCAAATAACTTTAGCTTAACCAACAAGAAAGACTGGCAAGTAATTGTAAAATGTATTGTAGAATATATTCTGGCGAGTACTGGATTTGCCCTCTACTCACTGCAGTTAATTTAGTAAAGGCAAATAACCTGTTCACTTTGCAGGAAAGGTTTTCCCCTTAGTTTAGTGAATGAATTGTAGCTCTGCTGACTTCTATCATCCAATCATCCAAAGCAAAAAAAAATGTTTTTTTTTCTTCTCCTTGCACATGATTGGGTATTCTTTGCAAAGAGAAATGTTACCACATTCACCAAGCTGAGGGACAACTTCTTCTGCAATGGACAAACTCCCTTGCAAAGTGAACAGCCTATTTGCCTTTAGTAAATCAACCCCACTGTGTCAATAACTCACTGTCAGGTAAAACCTCGTCCCAGTAACACAAAACCAGAAAGATATATAAACCTCCTCCACTCATCCCATCGCAAAAGAATAGAACATCCCGCAGATGCTGAATCAGATTTATGGAGTAGCAGAGAGCAAACAATACATCCACAGCTTTTGTTTGGTATACAATACCTAACACTTAACCACCTGAAATCCTGACCCACAAACCAAACCAAAATAAATCAGTTCACCTAAAAAAGGTTTTAAGATACTCAGATTGATGCAGGACTCTTCAACTTCCTGTTTCTATATTATGTGGTATACAGATGTTGGGAAATAGAGAACTGAAATTTGAGCTCCTCTTCTGCTAAAATTTATGAATTATGAAACAACTCGTGCAAACATTTAACTCACAACCCTTTTTTCATAATTGTGGTTAGCATTATGCACCAGGAGAGCACATATATAAAGATTTTGTTATAAGGCAAAGGACAAAGTAGACTAAAAGAATACTGACATCTGATAAATCAAAGAAGCTCTATTATTTAACAATTATGAGAGACTTCCAAAGGACCCCGAGGAATTATTATAGTACAAATAAAATAATTTATGTTCTGCTGATATTATAAACCCAGAAAGAAGCCGCACTATCTTGATACATTAGGTGAAAGCCTTGCTAACTAGAGGGCCCAGTTTACTACTTCATATTCGACTCCAACTGCACTTCTTTACTCAGGGCTTTTGGGTTCTAAAATCAAGTTAAACAGTATCTTCAAACATATCTGTCCTATACCTATCCATAATGGTTAACCTGACCCTAACACTGAACGGACGACCGAAATCAAGGCAGAATAATAACAATAAAAATAGTGGGGAACAACAAGGTAGTAAACTTTTGTCCCACAAAAAGAGAGGAATTAAATGTATGTACACCAACGCTAGAAGTCTGGCAAAACCTGAACCTAAATTTAACTTTAAACTGATGACACAGCCATCAGGGCTGGAAGTTGGCATTTCAGCACCGGAAACTTGACGCAAAGGACCCTCTAAATATTTTTTTAAGTATGTATCTCAGGGTAGGGGCAGGTGCTCTTGAGCAACATTGTTCTGTTTTATAGGGTATGGGGAAGTTATATCATTGTCCAATGTATTGTTGTATATTTTACGCAAGAGAATATTTCTCAAGAAGTATTTAAAGGAATTATTCTCAGGTGGTGTCATAACCACAGTTTCTTTCTTGGTATATACTGTATAGTATACATAAGCATTTTCTTCTGTGGATTTACAGGCTATCTCAACACTTTACGAGTCATTTGACTACTTTGCAATGAAGAACAAAGATGAGAAACCCGTAGCCAGCTGTGACAAACATGCTACTTGTTCCAATGATTCTGTTGCCTGCTCTGACCAGGTTACTGTCTGCTCTGATGGAGCCGTTACTTGCTCTGATTAACCTGCTGACTGTTTGGACAACTCAAATGCAAGATCTGCAAGAATGTGAACTAGTTTTGATACGTGCTTGCAATAAATGAACTAACATTTTGAGTGAACTCAAAATTGTTTATTGGATTCAAAAACATTTTATGGACAAAGAGATGATACTATTATGTGCAGAATAATAAGTGAAGATGTATTTATGTACAGTACCTTTATTTCAAAACTCAAGTAGGGTTGGCGGAGCATTTTTTGACAAATGGGGATCAGTGCTAAAAGGACGAGGACCTGTTGCATACTTGGTTAGCAATAATTTGACAGTATAAACAGTCGTAGATTTACAGGAGAGGAAACAATCTCAGACAAGACTTTGGGGTCTATTCACTAAGCTGCCGAAGGATCTAGTCGTAGCTTCGGCTGATCCTTCGGTTCAGTAGAACCGAAGGGCTGCTGTACGGGCTATTCACACTTTCTCCCAGAAAGGTTTACTCTGCTTGATCGAGCAGAGTAAACATTTCCCTGCTCTGGTTTTTTTTTCTTCTGACATCGGAGCCGTTGGCTGCCGTCAGAATAAAAAAAAAAACATCAAAATAGGAATGCATTGCTAGATTCCTATTGGCTATTTCAATTTGCAATAGCCAATAGCAAACTAGCTATTGCATCCGCCCACTCCTGCTGTCAATCAGCAGAGGAGACCTGAAACAGCAGCAGAACCGCCCGGCCAAAAGAAAACAGTTGGGCGGAGCAAGCTGCCACTGCTAGCTCCGCCCAATTGTTTCCCATTTTGTTTTCTACTTTTTTAAACTATTTTTCTATTCTGCTCGGTACCACAGAGGTACCGAGCAGAATAGCCAAGCCGAATGCATTCAGCTATTCACTCACTGCTGTTCGGCATCTATGAGAATAGGCCAAACAGCAGAGAGTAGCCTGCCGGAGGTTCGGCTTAGCCGATCCAGATGTTGGATCGGCTGAGTCGAACTCCTTCTGCACTTCGGGTCGGCCCGACCTGAAGTAGGTTCGGCATGTTCGGCCGACCCGAAGCCACATGAAGCAACCTGATGTACGGCTGATTTCAGCCGATATATGGCTGAAATCAGCCATACAAGCCTGAAGTGAATAGCCGAACAGAGTTCGGCTCACTTCACTTCGTGTCGGTCATTCACTCGGCTGCCTAAGGCAGCTTAATGAATTGACCCCTTTTAACTTCAAAATAAATCAGTAAACTAAACATGAGATTGTAGTCCATCACGGGAGCGAACTTGGAGCGGTGACTACTTTACAACACACAGGGACCACAGGGAACAAAAGTAGTCACCCTCCAGAAGGAAGGACAGTGTCAGCACCAATTCAGAGATGATTTGAGGATCTACAGCCGAGTGATACACAAATAAGGTACAGCATTGTTAATAGTTAAGGCACTTGAATGCATTTATAAATGTAACTAGTGTGAGTGTAAGTTTAGTGTCACTTTGAAATATATAATGATCATATTAGAGATTATAGAATCAAAGTACAGTCATGTCAGTACAGTACAGTCAAACAAATGTCAAACAAATGTAGAAACTTATTTCTTATTTATAGAATTGTAACAGGAACTGATGCTGCCTGTCTGTTTCTGTGGGTTCTGACTGCTCATTACATAAAATGTAGTTGTACCCAGTAGTCAGCCCTCCCCTATTACCTACCTTTAATCAAAAGCAGTAAGTTGTATTTATTGTTGAGAGATTTGCACTATTGAAATGTTGTATAATGATCCTAATAGACCAGTAGTGCCTTCTACAAAGGAGGCATCCTAACTAAAAATTGGGTTCCTATATGTTTTCCGCTAGCAAGCTATCTTTACTACTGTAGCTATTAGAAATGATATTGTGTTTCCCACAAATGAAAAGATATGGCAAATTGAGCTACAGGACAAGACTGCTGATGGTACATAACATAGATGGTTGGGGTCATGTAGTTCTCAGAATAATACAAGGGATAATAGTGCAGCACTGGAACTTATCAGTGAACAAGACCTCTGGCAAGATTAACAGGTATTTCTGCACTTATTTAAAATATATAATCAAATGCCTTCAATGGTATATTTACCTGGCCGAAAGGGAGCAAATGCGAGCTGTTTATTGTTAGGGTTTACATAGACTTTAAGAATCTCTTGGGCTTGTGTATTATATCTTTATTTTTAAAGAAATAAACAATAAGGTTGCAGAGAGGTTAGTTTTTTATTTCACCAATGCTTCTTACAAGGGCAGGAAAGGTAGATCTTTTCTAGGATAAGGTATAGGAAAAGGTAGAATTAGTTAGGTGGGGTTCTCAGGAGCAGTGAGGAGGTGTTGAACTGCCCAGTAGGGGTTAACCCCAAAATTTCAGAATTAAATAACTGTGATAGGTATAACTCAGGATACCTAGTTGTGAATCTGTTTAACAACATTTATTCATGCTGTGATATGAAAAGTGATGTATGCATTAATGCTGTAAATGGTTAAAGAGAGGCAATTTGTGTGCTTGACAAATATTACATTCTTTTCAAACATTTTATAATACAATATTTTATATACTAAATTGTGTGTTTTATTTTATTTATTTACTGTACCGACTTGGGCCAAAAGTTCAAGCTTTGAGAAAAGAAGTGCCAAAAGGGACGAATCAATGAGGAGGAAATTATAAACTGATATCCAATTCGCTTCGAGGGTAAAATAAATAGCTTTCTTCAGGGCTTGAATTTACAGGAGAGGGAATCACTGCTACTGCAGGAAAAGTCTCAGTGTGTGTCTATATTTTTGTTGAAGTGTCAAATGACAAGACCGTAATCCACTGTGCATGTTCTGTATTGACTTCCTTCATCCTTTTTGGCACTCCTTTTCTTCTGTTTAGCTGGATGAGCAGCGCTAGAATGTTCAATTTTTTTACATATGAAATGAACCTATACCAATAAAATGTAAAACATAAATCGATGGATGGTGGATCAAATTAAATAAATAACGACAAGTTAAATCCAGTGAATCCTATATCTACTGTGACCAATGTGTACTAATATATTGAATTACAAAGTGTCAATAAATGTTAATTGAAAGCTGCCGTACTGTAAACCCGTAGGTCTAAAGATATTTCGATTGAATATACAGCGCTAATAACTCAGTTAGTGAATATTAGATTACTAAATGCAAGTATATATATATATATATATATATATATATATAAACTATTTCTAGCATGCGACTGTGTTACTTGATGCAATCGATGCTAATAACAAGTGACATGTGAAACACAATATTATTAAATAATAATTGGTGTCAATATCCTCTACAGACAAGAACCGTGACTGAAAACAAATTGTTAGACCATCGTGCTATCTTAAAAAATATATGAATTTTAATTTTTATCCTTCACATTGATTCTAATGTGTGATAAATCTCTGTGCAATAAACAAGTATGTGAATAGAAAATCTCTATGATAATTTAATTCTGTGCAAATGAACGTATATATAGAATACAAAAAGTCTCTGTGATAATTTGGCTCCGCTTCAATAAAGGTGATCGAGCCTTCCAGTGTTCGGTGATTTAAACAGTGCTTTTCTGGGGTTTGTATTGTTACCAACACATTCCCCTTTCAGAGTGCGTACTCACCTCAAGCTTTTGGCTGTAACAGACAGCCCCACACGTTTTGTCTGATGGAACAGGCTAATACGGCGTCTTTGCCGGCAACTACTGTACCATCAGTCTTCAAAGTGTAGAGTGTTCATCCAATCATGCAAAGAAAAAAGTCCTTCATCGTGTAATAATTTCCAGGAGTATTTTATTAGAAAAATAAAATTCAGTAACGATAAAACACGTCCGACCGGTTCAACAGCTATCAGATTTGGTATGGCAGACCCGCCCCTACGCTTTTCGTCACCACCGACGTCCTCAGGGGAGCATGCAGGACCTGCATGCTCCCCTGAGGACGTCGGTGGTGACGAAACATGCAAAGAAAAATGTCCTTCATCGTGTAATAATTGTTTTTGCATTTTTCACTGCTGTGAAAAACAAAAACAGCCCTTCCTAATACAACATGCTGCCACAACAGACATGTGGGATGGTATCCTGATAGAAAATCATAGACTCCTGTAATGGCGATACCAGCCCACATGCACTTCAGTATTTTAAGAAAGGGTGTTTTGAGAGCATTTTTGCTAAAACAAGGGGCACCCATCCCAAATCAACCATGTTAAATGCTAACTGCAACAAGATCTTTGGAACACCCAATGCCCCAGAGGAGGTGCCAGCGCAGTAGGGTTAGGTGCAACTCACCTGCCCCTAGCAGGTAGATTACAACACCATTCCTGATGAACAGGTAAAGAGGTCTTGTTCAGTAATTTTAAGGGAAAAATGCAAAAAACATACTCACCAATGATTCCTTTACCTTAGCACAATAGTATGTATATTACTATGTATTATAGCTACAACCAACATTTCACTGATGCTGAAATCAATACTTGTGGGAGTGTTAGATCATCCTGGCTCCTCTTGCTCATGTCCACCTACAACATCACTGCTTTCTCTCTGTTCCCAACACTAAGGGGGTTATTTACTAAAGAGCCAAAGGATCCAGCCGTAGCTACGGCTGGATCCTCTGGCTCTCTTCGGCCGCCTCTGCCCTTCAGTTCAGACGAACCGAAGGCCCGGCTGATCCATATTCACAGCTGTAGCATGGAGAAAGGTCGGCCAGAGCCGACCGATCCCCATGCAAATGACAGCTGGGCGGAGCCAGGTGTGATCTCACAGCTCACTCCGCCCAGTTGTAATGACAGGCCAGCATCCCCAAATGACCTGCGGACGCTGATCTGTCATTAAACAACTGGGCGGAGCCGGGCATGACATCACATCCAGCTCCGCCCAGTTGTTATTCATTGGCCCGGACCTGCTAAAAGACTCTGGCAGGTT